GCGCACATAATTTAAACTATGACACGAGGGCCGCAACTTTCCACCGCTGTCCTTTCAGGATGATTAGTCGTCCCTTGGCCCAAAAAGGCAGCAGGTGCACTGGCAAGTTTCCGGTGATATAGCACTTTGTCCACTTGACGTAGTTTGGCGACACTTGAGAGCTGCTTGCCCGAACACTGGGAATATAATATTTACAGAAATTCGAAATTTTCCAACTGAAGCTTTTAGAATATAAAATGCATTCTAAGAGTTCGAAGTTATACTGTATTTGCTTGAAATCGTTGGAGTTTAAAAGACCTTTAATTCTAAGCACGCCTGTAAGCAAAGTTATCTATTATTTTATGGCTTCAGATTTCCAAATACAAAAAGGTTTTGCTTTTAGAAGGACTATTTATATACCATTAAAAGTTTGCCAAAGTGTAAAAAGTTCCAGCTGATTTTTCTTAAACTCCATTGACAGCTGGCGAAGTTTTCTGGCAGTCAATTTGCGATGTCGAAACTGAGCACGAAGCCCGCTCGAGTGGCGACAACTGGCAATAGTGAGGGCCCCATTCTGGTCCCCCAAACGGCTAACCCATTTTGGCCATTCATTATGCAAAAGCTGCTACTGTTGTCGGCATAAACTCACTGGGGACCGAGACCAGCATAAACAAGTCAAGTGCAAGAACAGGGTCACTAGTTTTTGGTCAGAGCAGAATTATGGCCATTTGGTAATTGTACAATCGTATGCAGCAGATACAACTGCAATGACAACTGTTCCGGAGGCGGGCACACGATTCCAGGCCCAACTCTGGGCCAACTGTCATCAGCAAAGGGAGAAATGTTTCTTATTCTCACTTTCCTTCTGCTGGCCACAAAAACCGCAACAAGCCCCCAGGAAAACTCGTTTGCCTCTTGTCGCCGGCATCGTTGGGCTGCTCAAAGTGTTATTTCGTTTGCCCATTGCCATTTTGTATTCAGTTTCGTGTTTCAATTGCTTAAAGGAGATGTGATGGGAATTTTTCACGGAACAATTTATCATCCACCTGGGTCCCATATATACACGTCTCGGTATTCTTTATCAATTAATGTCCTGCCAAATTTTGGGTTCATAAATTAGCTGTTAGTACGTGACAGCATTTTCTTGTTGACTTTCCGGGTGAGGGAGTCGAAGTCGGAGTCGGAGTTCCCTGGCCTGTCAATTGATTTAAATGGCTTTTTTGTGGCTGTGCCTGACTGGCATTTAAACTAATTAAAAAGTGCCAGGGAATCTCTTCAGTGGCGCAAATTAGTCGATAATTGGAAAAAGTGTGAGCACACAAAATTCGGTGATGTGTGAAAGAAAACCCCAAAAACCACAAACAAGACAATCATATACACATGACACAGACAGGCCCACAAATATCCGAATGAACCGCAGAAACATTGTTGAGGACCTCGCATGTGGTGCAGCTACATATTTATACTTATTTTTTGAATCCAAGGACGAAGGACGAAGGACGAACAGCAGGGAACAGCTGCCAGTCAGTGGGGCAGACAGGAAAAGTGACAGACAGGCAGATAGACCACAATCATAAAAAAATCAGCAGCTGCAGCAGCCAAGCGACAAAATGCAGTTGAACAAGTTTTTACGAGCTGGGGCTTAAGAATTGCAATAAAATATTTTTGCAACAATTTAGATGCCACAGCTTCCCCTTCGGTGGCATTAGCTTCGGACATGCAGTTAGCTTTTCTTTATAGCCCGACCACATTAAGCGCCATTAATGGCCCATACCCCATACGCCACAAGCGGATGCGTATGGTCAGTGATTTCCCCTTATATCGTACATTGTGTTGCACTTGCAACAGCGGCGATCGTAAAATGAAATGGGTAAGGGAAAGCTGCATCTGCCAATTAGTTTTTACCTCAGGACAGTTCAAACTATACTATGAATTGAATTGAATACTATGAATATGAAACTGTAACTATATCTTAAAAGTTTCTTAACTTAAAGTCCTGGTGCTAAAAGAATCCTTATGTAGGTATCTTCCCCGAGTCCTGTAATTGTTTATTTTCCTTTTTCGTTTTGCTGCTTAATATCGTTAAAATTCATTCAAGTGCGAAACTCGTCGATAAACTTTGCCTCAAAGCGAAAAAATGGAATGGGATGCACGGAAAAACTGTTAAGGAAAGCTGGGGAAAAATATGGCGTCTTTGATTTTGACATTGTGCCACATCACGTAGTGCATATACATATATAAATATGTTTGGATGGCGAAATGCCTGAACAAGCGAAAATAGCGCATAAATTTATGACACTCGAATTGGAGGGGGGCGTGGCATGCGGCATGTGGCATTTGTGCAGCTAAGCGTGGCAGCTTTTCGGGGGCAAAAAAGTAGAAGAAATATCCATATTTATTGAACACTATTTATTCGGTAAAGAGAAAGCGAGTGTGACACATTTTCCTCAAGTTAAATATGTGATAAAGATGACTTTGATTTCGCCACTCGGCTGCAGTTAACCCAAATTGCTTCAATGTCAGCTCTTAAGGCTGCACAAAGGACTTGAGATCCTGGCCAAGAAGGAACCCCCAACCTCTGCACAGCCCAAAGGGGAATCCCCAGCAGCTGTCCAAACATTGCACACACAATTCACCATCAAATTCGATGTGTGTCAGTGGGCGAGTGTGTGTCAGAAAGCTGGAAAGCTCAATGGGATATCTGCTATTTGATTTCGAGTTAGTTTATGGGAGTGCGGTCGAGTTGAAGAATGCAATAAAATTGGTGTTAGATAAATAGATAAAGTATTTCAAGGGCTGGGCTTCTCCTTGTAAGCCGATAAAGGCGAAAGGATAAAAGCTTTCCAAATTGGGTTAACTTTTGACTTGGCCTCGGGTGTTTTCTTTATTGTAAAACGTTTCACCCCGTACATTATATTTCGCTTATATTGCGCTGTAAATTCCACACATCCCGGCAATGTGCTTAATAAAAACTCATAAAATTTCATTTATCCGAGCACGAAGAACTCAAAGAAGTCGATGGCATGCGGAAAAAATCTGCGTCAAAAATATATATGAGGCAACATGAATATTTTATATGTTAAGCATCAGCAATCAATATATATTGTGCAAGGTATTGTTTCGCGGAAACTCACCTCGTCTGCACGCAGGTAAATTGATTTTTGTCGTTAAAAGGTCAGGCAGAAATTACTGCGAAAATGTAATGAAAATCTTTGTAAGATCGTATAATTTTGCAGAATTTTCACAAGCTCAAGGTTTGCAGTTGTCCTGCGATTTAAATGGCCCTTTTTAATTACATATATAAAAGTGCCATAATTGAGGACTCTAGAACATAGGTTCATGTTTTGAAGCAACTTTAAACAATATCCGTTTGGATGTCGAGTCATTATTTTTAATGATGTATCTCGGTTAATTAAAGCATGCTGGGTGAAACAAAAATCCTTTGAGTTTTCAGAACACACGAATAATGGGAATACAAAAATGTTCATCTGGCAAATGCAAGTCCTTTGACTAAAGCATAAATGTTGATAAATACACTGGATATTATTTGCATTTAATAGCAGCCTAGCAACAGTATTTTGCCAAGTTTTAATTAAAATGTCGTCACATAGAAAGCAAGCCACAGTCGAGTTGGCAATTAGCAATGTTTTGCCATAAATTTAATTCAAAATTGGTCACAAACATTTGCTAATTTAAGCGCCACGGTGGGATTGCACGCAAGGGCATGGAACTTATCACACATACGCCATGTTAGCCGCCCTGCAATAGAAGTTGTCAACCTGCAGCGCCGGCAAATGTGCATAATTCTTGCACACAGATAGTGCCCAGTCAAGGCAGCTAAATTATAAACCCAAACACAAACAACGCTGGCACCAGAGAAAGTTTTCCTGTGTTGTCCTTCTCAGGATTGCTAAGTAAATTGATAAACAGAAACATTTGTGCCGAGCTCCGATTAAACTGAGAGAAAATATCGCACAGTTTGATTATTCATTTCGTCAAAATGGTTTTATATACAACTCATAGACTCCACCTACACATAAATGCATGCACTTAAATATTCAAATCTACGATTCCTTGGGAAACTATAATTGCATTCAAATGCCAGCCCAAATTTCCCCTGTGCAGCACGCAAGTTCTAAATGGGCTGTTAAGCGGCAAAATTTTGGTCGCATCTGTTGCCGTAGATTTGTGTGTACTCTTCAGGTTTTCGTTTGGTCCAATGGTCTTTGCATTTATTTAATTAAAACGCACTGGCTCTGACCGACGTTGTTATTGCTGCAATTATAAATGCTATATGTAATTTACTGCCTGCCTGACATCTCTGCTCAGTGATATGTCTCATTGTCACTGGCTTTGTTTGTCCAGCCCTCCGCCCCCCATTTGTAGTCCACTTGGAGTTTTCTTTGTTCTATTTGCCCGACCTGGCATACTAAATCACCTGAATACTTGCATTCAAATCGGGCAGAATGAGAGGTCTTTTTTGGGGTAATTTGAATTTAATTTGAGTGAATTCGAAGCAATTTCAGCAGCCACAATAGGTGTTGTCTAACATTACCAGAGGAAATAATAGTTAATTATGCGAATGAATACTCAAGACAAGAGGCTTAAATGGGCTGAATACAAAATTTCGCTCGAATTCATTTGCGACCGCATTACTGCTCACTCATTCTGTGATCAAATGTAAAATCCATGAATATCAAATAAATTACATCATCGCACATGCAAATAAAAATCGGAAGTTCAAAATATCCCAGCTGCTTAATATGCGAAACGCGTTGAATCTCCCACGCATAAAAAGCTATGAAAATAGGGGATCTAGCCTTAAATAAAAGACAAACAAATTGCTGGTCGCCCCAATAAGAGGCGTCATATTGTTGCTCTGTCTGGCAGAGGAAAAGTTTTCCTCATTGTGTATAGTACGTGATAATTGCGAAGTACCAACCGTTCTTGAGTGTCAAATTGAAAACGAGAAATTTAACCGAGCGAAATGCTGTTTTTACCGCCCTCTTGCCCACCAACAGTCACCAAATTCATACGCATTGGCATCGCCGATAAAAACGATAACCCGCCCTATTTCGACAAATCGCTGTACGAGGCCGAAGTGGACGAGAACGAGGACATTCAACACACAGTGCTCACTGTAACGGCCAAGGATCACGACGAGTGTAAGTAGAGGGCCCCTGTGGACGCCCCCAAAAAATGCTCCCAGAAATTCCGCAATTATTATCTTACACACACATTTTTCTCCGTCCCTATTCTCCTTCTCGTCCTGAATTCGTCCTTCGCCCACAGCCTCACGTATCCGCTATGAAATTACAAGCGGCAACATTGGCGGCGCTTTTGCGGTTAAAAATATGACGGGTGCCATTTATGTAGCTGGCGCTTTAGATTACGAAACTCGACGCCGGGTAAGTAAAAAACCAAAAACCGGAAAAAAACAAAAAAAAATGGAAATACAGAAACCGCGTTCGCAAAAAAATGAAAAATGCAAAGTGGAAGCCCGCAGAGGACTCCTCTGTAATCGACAAACGTTCTTTCGCAGCTCAGATATATTTATGACATAAGCGTTGCGGGCTTAGTCAACTGTGAGATTTGTTTATGTCATTGGAAAGCTGAGAATACATAGAGCCACCAGGGATTACAACAAAAACATTCCCGAAGTACAATTATTTTTTCTTTAAGCTTCAACAGGAATTTTTACTGAAAGGCAGAAAAAGAGCAAGAAAATTAAAGAGTTAATTGGAGGCTTCAGGGAGAAAGTTTTTAAAAAGGTCCCTAGAAAAACGACAAGAAAACTCCATTTCACTGCCCAACCAGGCATTAAGGCCATTCTAATCTTGAGCAACTATAAAATTCATTAAGAAACTCGCTCTCCCTTTGAATTTCAATTTACACGCTTCGCACACCGCGAGGCTGCTTAAATATTTAAAAGTTCAAACAAGTTTTGTTACACGAGCTGCGGTCGAAAAGACAAATACCAAAGGCAAGAACGTGGATGGCCAACCATTAATTGAATTGCAATTCGAACAATTGGCCAGTACAAACTCAGTCGTCATCCAATTTTCGCGTCTTTAATTGCAACGCGGCTAGGGAAACTTTCTCCCAAAATGTCGAATTATTTAGCAAACCACTGAAACAGGCAAAAAGGCTTGATAGAAATATTGATATAGTTGTAGGCAGATATTGAATAGCTTAAAAAGATCACGTTAAAAGTGTTGAAAACCCAATCGATGAGTATAAATAATACGTTTTTCTCTGTGCGTTCAGTATGAACTTCGCTTGGCCGCCTCCGACAATTTGAAGGAGAACTACACCACCGTGATTATCCATGTCAAGGATGTTAACGATAATCCCCCCGTTTTTGAGCGACCCACCTATCGCACCCAGATCACCGAAGAGGACGATCGTAATTTGCCCAAACGCGTCTTGCAGGTCAATGAATGAAACAAAATGAATCTGAATCCTAGCTCACAGCTTTTGTTTTGTTCAGTAGAGTTCATATTCAGCTAGATATTATTGCATGTGTTGAGTTTTACCTTTCAATTTGTTCCCCGCCCCGAAAACTGCCTGATCCACACTTTATTGCACAAAAGATACACATAGAATGTTAGAGTGAACAAGCTTCGTTTTTAAAACAATTTGTTAGTTTTTATTCATCACTCCCAATATTTATTTTAATGATGTGAATAGCCTAAAAAGCGGCATTTTACCCTTGTTTTTTACACAACAAATTGTTGACATGTTAAGGGCATTTACTGCTGTGCAATATTAATGAACTCAAATTTATGTTGGTTCATTTTAAAAGTATTTACAATGGCAAACCAATACATTTTTTAAGTTCGAAAGAATGCAACATATTTGAAGCCATTTGCATGTTGTTCCGCTTCCCGCTTTTTCGTTTGATTTAGGGCTAGTGAAAAAATATGACGAAAAGTAATTGAACAATTAAAAAATGCTGTCCATTTTAAAGTGGACATGGCCTGTAGAATGTGGCCTATAAAAAGCGTATAAAATTTATTTACCGAATGCGCACACATAAAACATTTAAATTGCGGTTTACAGAAAAAATATGGTAATACTATTGATTTATCATTAACCGGGCTGCGATAAATTATGTATAAAATTGAAAATGACTTGAAATCATGTCGATCAACATGCACACCTTCAAATGTCTGCACTTTTTATTGAATAATTGAAAAAGTCAATTAATTTATCGCCATTTAATGAGTGAGCGAGCGCACCACTGAATGTGAAAAATGCAAATTAGCCGTCAAGTCAAGAGTGGAAAAGCGTTTACAAGATTTTGCTGGATTATTCTTTCCGTTTCGTAAAGCGTAAAGCGTAAAGCCAAGCGAGCTTTCATATAATTTGAATCAATAGTTTTATGTTCTCCTCGTAATTTATGTGCATTTTATATTTATTGTTTAATTTCGTTGTTTTTACCATTTTTCGTTCTCTTCCCTGCACCAATTTTCCGTTGGCCATATATTTTATTTAATGTTTGCATAAAGTACGAACTCAAATTGGTTGCCTCGGACAGTTTGAATGAAAATCAAACAACAATCGTCATAAATGTGCGCGACGTCAACGATCTTCCACCGCAATTCCCGCAGACATCCTACGAGCGAACTCTCGACGAGGGAATGACCAACACGCCCTTTACCATTATGCAGGTCGCTATATTATTTACCATTTCCGAGTCCTGTACATAAAATCATACCGACCACGAACATATAGCAAACAAAGCCGCTCCGCCACGTAACAATTAATTTAACCCAACAACCCGAAATCTCATTCAGTCTCATTTCCCATGTAAACTTTGTGTAAACCAGCCATAATAATACGTAAACATAATGAATAATCTCCGCGAGCAAGGTGTAGTGTTCGAATTTATTAAAAGCCATTCGGCGGCAATTGTGTAAATTGAAACGTGAATTCCACTGGGTATTAAGGTGCACTATTAAAGTACATACAATTAGTGGGGTGACTTTAACGAAAAATTGATTCTGTTACTAAAATATTCCCTGCGGTATTGCGCAAACTTTCGCATTTTATTTATCGCACATATGTGCTTTCCATTAGCCATTTATGTTTGCTACCAAAAGCTGCTAATTAAATTCAATATGCTCTTTAAGTATTAATGCCACACATTTGCACGATTAAGCTTGACCCGCTCAGATTTCCTATTGTGGTTTTAACACGTTTCACTTGTGGCTAGTGGCGTCCAACTAATTTAATTAAAATGGACATAGTTGGCGCTTAGAGACAACAAAGAGAATTAAAATCAATCAGTCAGCACCTTTCTTTGTTTGTATTTACATTTTACTAACCATACGCAAATAATATTTTATATTTTATTGATTTTGTGCTCACTCACTGCTAACAACAATAGTTTTCACTGACCAAACCTAAAACCTGAATCCTGAAACCTGAAAGCACTATGCAAACAAATCATAATCCATTGCAAAGCGGCTAAAAAAGTCAGAATGGTAATTAAAGTAAATAAGTACGAGTGAAAAGTGCCATTGCAGGTGAAAAAATAAACGCACTCGTACAAATCGCATTCATCTAAACTAACCGAAGCATAAATGGTTTTGTTTTAAGTAGTTTTTGCATGGCATGTTTGTATTATTTCCCTACTACTTAATTCGCACTTTTTGCTTGTTTACCTAACGTTGCTCCACTTTACTCCTCACTTTCCCGACCATCAATAATAAATATGTGCATTTGGATGAACAGGTTACGGCCACAGATGGCGACAAGGATCGTCCCCAGAACATCGTGTACTTCCTCACGGGCCAGGGCATTGATCCGGATAATCCAGCCAATAGCAAATTCGACATCAACCGCACCACCGGCGAAATATTCGTACTAAAGGTAAGTCATCGGCGAAAACAATGCCGCAGTGCTTGGCTCTTAATTTAAGCATTAACAAATTGCCAATGGCCGCTGTGAAAAAGTGTTCGTTGCATAATAAATACGCGTGTATAAATAAAATGCGGTATTTAAAAATCCATGTTGGCCGAGGCAGCAGCTGGTCCGAAACGCAAAATAATGGCGAAATTTCGAAATATGCTCTCTCTGATTAAGCCCCATCCATGTGCACTTAAGCCCGCTTCGAATCAATCCCAATCGCCACAAAATGCAAACGCGCGAATCTGTCGGCGTGCTCATTATTTCGCATTTAAGTTGCAGTTGGCTATTAAATAAAATGTTTAAATGGATTCCTCGAGGCGCAGGAAGTGACTGATGACCCTCAAGGTCTCGCGGATTTCGCAAGGAAATAAATAATTCATTTGATACGAAAATGCACTGCACAATGCAGTCTGCTCTTTAAATTGCCCCCCGCAGGCGGCACGCAATTGAAAGAAAATGAAAACTAATTACAAAATCACAATTGAAAATCCCTCGCCACATGCGAGTTGGAAAATTTCACTTAGCTCTAGTGCAGTCCCAAAAACGCCAAAGTCAAATTAAATGAAATGAAATTCCCATGCGTCCAGCGCAAAACAAAATTAAACGAATAACACTCGTGCCGCACAATTCGGCTATTTTAGTCCAAGGACTATCTCTCTGGACGTGAATACAATTTTATAAAAGTGGCGGGTGGAGAACTTGGTAGGGGATACCAAACAGCTGTACCGCATTTTTTCTGGGTTGTGGGTCGGAATCCCCTGAATGTGACCCACTCACAACTAATCCCTTAAATTGAATATGTCATAACAATGCTGGCAAATTTGTCATGCAAATTAAAGCGATGACTAGCTGGGGTATTTTCTTTTATTCCGTACTTACGGGGTATTTCCGCAGACTTTCAGGTTGTTCCGCACTTTAGTCAAACCTAAAAGGAGCTAAGAGGTTAGGTTGCTAACGGAGCTACAGTTATTTAATGTAATTGAAAGCATGGAAACGTCTCTAGTAGAAAGCTTTATATTGAATGCACTTGTATCTCGTATCCGGATAGGCTTTAGCATATTTCTCCAGAGTATCCTTCGGTGTAATCCATCAACGCAATTATTTGTACACAGTTCTCTGCTGTTGGCGCCTCGTGCACCAATTTTTTACGACAAATCCAATGTCAGCGCCATGAAAGACTCCTCTTGTTGTCGGTCCGCTGTGCCTGTCACATGTCGTCGGGGGTTAACGACGGTGGAGGTTAAGGGGTCGTGGGGCTGCGATTTGCTAACAAGGGTTTGGGGCCATGTACGAGTGTATCCAAGGGTTGCCGGCAGCCAACAGCTACAAAGTACTGATTAAAATCGCTTGCGCATTTTATTATTTGCATACGTATGTGGGGTTGCGTGTGTTAGGATGGGCATTCTGGGGGCTTAGGCCAACCAGGTGGGACCGAAACCCATCACTCAGGCTGCTGTGAATGCATATCAAAGTCACAATCAACATCAGGGCCATTTTTGTGGCTTCCCCAACATTGTGTTAGGGCATAATTTCATGGGTTAAAGATGGTGTAGCTCTTAACCCACAACAATGTTAATCGGTCCTGCGTTTATGACAGCTAAAATTACGCACGGCCCTGCGTGTTTAACCCATAACAGCGCTTTACACTTAACTCACACTTTTATTTCGATGCCTTTATAGCCTCTGGATCGCGATCAACCCAATGGACGCCCCCAGTGGCGTTTCACTGTATTCGCCCAGGACGAGGGCGGCGAGGGACTCGTGGGTTATGCGGATGTCCAGGTCAATCTGAAGGACATCAACGACAATGCGCCCATTTTCCCGCAGGGCGTATACTTTGGCAACGTGACTGAGAACGGCACCGCCGGCATGGTGGTGATGACCATGACTGCCGTGGACTACGACGATCCCAATGAGGGCTCCAATGCCCGGCTGGTGTACTCCATCGAGAAGAACGTGATTGAGGAGGAGACGGGGTCCCCCATTTTTGAAATCGAGCCCGATACGGGTGTGATAAAGACCGCCGTTTGCTGTCTGGATCGCGAGCGGACTCCGGACTATTCGATACAAGTCGTGGCGATGGATGGCGGGGGGTTGAAGGGGACGGGGACGGCCTCCATACGGGTTAAGGATATCAACGACATGCCGCCGCAGTTTACGAAGGACGAATGGTTTACGGAAGTGGACGAAACGGATGGCACGGCCCTGCCGGAAATGCCCATTTTAACCGTGACCGTGCACGATGAAGACGAGACGAACAAGTTCCAGTACAAGGTTATCGACAACAGTGGCTATGGCGCCGACAAGTTCACCATGGTGCGGAATAACGATGGCACTGGCTCGCTGAAAATCGTGCAGCCCCTGGACTACGAGGATCAGCTGCAGAGCAATGGCTTCCGCTTCCGCATCCAAGTGAACGATAAGGGCGAGGACAACGACAATGACAAGTACCACGTGGCCTACTCGTGGGTGGTGGTCAAATTGCGGGACATCAACGACAATAAGCCGCATTTCGAGCGGGCCAACGTGGAGGTGTCTGTATTTGAGGACACCAAAGTTGGCACCGAGCTCGAGAAGTTCAAGGCCACCGATCCGGATCAGGGCGGCAAGAGCAAGGTGTCCTACTCCATCGATCGCTCCTCGGACCGTCAGCGGCAGTTTGCCATTAACCAGAATGGTTCCGTTACCATTCAGCGTTCCCTGGACCGCGAAGTTGTTCCTCGTCATCAAGTCAAGATCCTGGCCATCGACGATGGTTCTCCGCCGAAAACCGCCACTGCCACCCTTACAGTCATCGTCCAGGACATCAACGATAATGCTCCCAAGTTCCTCAAGGATTACAGACCGGTTCTGCCCGAGCATGTGCCTCCACGCAAAGTGGTGGAGATCCTGGCCACCGACGATGACGATCGCTCCAAGAGCAATGGCCCGCCCTTCCAGTTCCGTTTGGACCCCAGTGCAGATGACATCATCCGCGCTTCCTTCAAGGTGGAACAAGATCAAAGTGAGTACTTCTCATATTTACAATTACTTCTTAAAGATCTTCACTCAGCAGTTTAGCTTACAAATGTAAGATCCTTTTTGTAAAACGCTATGTTTTCTATTGCAATTTTTGTTTGTGCTCATAGAAGTTTTTACAACTGAAAATTAAAAATGCATTCAAATTAATTTGCCCTTTGCCGAAGTATTATTTTCGTTCTATCGAACTTCCAAACTGCAACCAATTACATGTGCATTGCGGCGCCTTCTCAACATGAAAAGGTACCCAAAAATAGTTACAGGCCAAAACTTTGCCAGCCTCAATGAAAAGTTAGCCAAATATTTGGGTCAAAGCTTAAACAATGCACCCACGTAACACTCTTAGTTATTTTTGATTTTTTGCTTGTGCCCCAGCTTGTATTGAATTTTCTTGGCAAGTATTGAGGCTTGTGACCGCTGCCACTAAAGGCCAACAATAGCATACAAATGCAATTACCTCGCAGGGGAAGTTTGAAATGAATAGCCAGGAATCTTTGGCCATGCAACAGAAACCGTAAACCGCATCGCACATGAAAATTTAAATAATATAAGCAAGGCAAACGCAGAAGATTCGCCCACCTGGGCGCCAAATAAAATGGAAAATGCACAAGTTTCCAATGAAATTACACCATGAAGAGTCTGCCCCAAAATCCAAACTCCATATGTATGCAACGCAGCTCCCCTCGCAAAGCCAAGAAGTGCGGAGAAAAAAGTGACCCAGCCAGCATTCACAATTTTTGTGGGTGGCAATCCAATTCTGATGCCTCGGCAGGCAAGTTGGGGGCTTCCGTGGAGTGCGGACAACTACGATTCTGTGACTTTATGCAAACGTTGGCTGGCCTGGGGGGCAGAAGGCTTTTACAGACTCCTATTTGCATACAATTTGCCTAAAAACACACCATGGAGTGTCTTTAAAAATACATTTCAACTGTGCGGAGAGCGCCGGTCCTCCTGGGGTTTTCCCCTCCGGGGCAATAGTTTCCTTTCCTCCGGACTTCCAGTCCCAACACTTGTTGGCTCAAAGGCGTAATTACAACAAATGGGCTATTGCACAAGCTGCATCTGCAATCAGGTGCAAGGGAAAACGTGTTGGCCAATAAAAGAGCTTAGTTTTCGGGTTGGCTAGTTGTCAGAGCTCACGGCTAACTGGCAAATGCTTTGAAGTCCTGAATAACAACTAGATTTGGGCTGGGCCTTGCCTTAGGCACTTACATGACCGAGAATTGGTAGTTTATTCACCTGTAGGCACACGCTTAAGTAGACTTAGGGCTTTAGAATGCAGGACTTAAGGATATGTTTTCTAATCCATTATAACTTCACTTGCAATTTCCAGAGGGCGCCAACGGTGATGGCATGGCCGTGATATCCTCGCTGAGGTCCTTCGATCGCGAGCAGCAAAAGGAGTATATGATCCCGATTGTGATCAAGGATCATGGCTCACCAGCGATGACCGGAACCAGCACTTTAACCGTCATAATTGGCGATGTGAATGACAACAAAATGCAGCCTGGATCCAAGGACATCTTCGTTTACAACTACCAAGGACAGTCGCCAGACACTCCGATTGGGCGGGTCTATGTCTACGATTTGGACGATTGGGATCTGCCCGACAAGAAGTTCTACTGGGAGGCCATGGAGCATCCCCGGTTCAAGTTGGATGAAGATTCCGGCATGGTAACCATGCGAGCAGGAACCCGCGAAGGCCGTTATCATCTCAGGTTCAAGGTCTACGATCGGAAGCACACTCAAACCGATATACCCGCCAACGTTACGGTTACAGTGAGAGAAATTCCCCATGAAGCTGTTGTCAACTCGGGTTCCGTGCGCCTATCAGGCATTTCAGACGAGGACTTCATTCGAGTCTGGAACTACAGAACCCAAAGCATGAGCCGCTCCAAGATGGATCGCTTCAGGGATAAGCTGGCTGACCTGCTGAACACTGAGCGAGAAAATGTGGACATATTCAGTGTGCAATTGAAGCGGAAACATCCGCCCCTAACGGACGTTAGGTTCTCCGCCCATGGATCTCCTTACTACAAGCCAGTTAGGCTAAACGGAATCGTACTGATGCACCGCGAGGAGATCGAGAAAGATGTGGGCATCAACATCACCATGGTGGGCATCGATGAGTGTCTGTATGAGAACCAAATGTGCGAGGGCAGCTGCACAAACTCCCTGGAAATCAGTCCGCTGCCCTACATGGTGAATGCCAACAAAACCGCCTTGGTCGGAGTTCGCGTGGACACCATTGCTGACTGTACTTGTGGAGCACGCAACTTCACCAAGCCCGAATCCTGCCGAACCACGCCCTGTCACAACGGTGGTCGTTGTGTGGACACCAGATTTGGTCCTCACTGCTCGTGTCCCGTGGGATACACGGGACCCAGGTGTCAGCAAACCACGCGCAGTTTCCGTGGAAACGGTTGGGCCTGGTATCCTCCGCTGGAAATGTGCGACGAGTCGCATTTAAGTCTGGAGTTTATTACCCGAAAGCCTGACGGCCTAATTATCTACAACGGTCCGATTGTTCCTCCAGAACGGGATGAGACGCTCATCTCCGACTTTATTGCCCTGGAATTGGAACGAGGTTATCCCAGACTGCTTATCGATTTTGGCTCGGGAACTTTGGAGCTGAGAGTGAAGACGAAGAAGACTTTGGACGACGGCGAATGGCACAGAATCGATCTGTTTTGGGATACCGAAAGCATTCGCATGGTGGTCGACTTTTGCAAATCAGCAGAGATTGCAGAAATGGAGGATGGCACGCCGCCAGAATTCGATGACATGTCCTGCCAGGCAAGAGGACAAATACCGCCCTTTAATGAGTACCTCAATGTAAATGCTCCTCTGCAAGTGGGTGGCCTGTATCGGGAGCAGTTTGATCAGAGTCTGTACTTCTGGCACTATATGCCCACGGCCAAGGGATTCGATGGTTGCATCAGGAATTTGGTGCACAACTCAAAGCTCTATGACCTGGCCCATCCCGGACTTTCGAGGAACAGCGTCGCGGGTTGTCCTCAAACCGAGGAAGTGTGTGCTCAAACGGAGACCACAGCCCGGTGCTGGGAGCACGGCAACTGTGTTGGCTCCTTGTCCGAAGCTCGTTGCCATTGCCGACCGGGTTGGACAGGTCCTGCCTGTAATATACCTACCATACCGACTACCTTCAAGGCGCAGAGCTATGTCAAATATGCTCTGAGTTTCGAGCCCGATCGATTCAGCACGCAGGTCCAGCTGAGATTCCGGACCAGAGAGGAGTACGGCGAACTTTTCCGGGTGAGCGATCAGCACAACCGGGAGTATGGAATCCTGGAGATCAAGGATGGGCATCTGCACTTCCGCTACAATCTGAACTCACTGCGCACTGAGGAAAAGGACCTCTGGCTAAATGCCATAGTCGTAAACGATGGCCAATGGCATGTGGTGAAGGTAAACCGATATGGCTCGGCTGCTACCCTGGAATTGGACGGTGGAGAGGGTCGTCGTTATAACGAGACCTTTGAGTTCGTGGGGCACCAGTGGCTATTGGTGGACAAGCAAGAGGGTGTCTATGCGGGCGGAAAAGCTGAATACACTGGAGTGCGGACTTTTGAAGTATACGCTGATTACCAGAAGAGCTGCCTCGATGATATACGGTAATTAAGTGCTTCTTAATCAGTAATATTTTACAAATTTGCTCACACTTTTTGCCAAATTGTGTTTACAGTCTGGAGGGTAAGCACCTTCCATTGCCACCGGCGATGAACGGTACCCAGTGGGGACAGGCCACCATGGCCAGGAATCTAGAGAAGGGTTGTCCCTCGAATAAGCCCTGCTCCAACGTGATCTGCCCCGATCCGTTCGAGTGCGTGGATCTGTGGAATGTCTACGAGTGCACGTAAGTTTCCACCAGCCTACCATTTCATCTTACAGAAACCACCCACTGCTTTTCGTTTCTCATCAATCAAAAAGAAAAATTCATAGCATTTAAATAAATTGACGTTCGGACTGTACTTGCACATAACATTCACCAACCAACAAAAAAGGGTAAAACCGCAAATTACCCGTAAGCCAAAACGGCGATAAGGAAAACCCAAAAACCAATACCGCAAAAAGTTACAAAAAGGAAAACAAATCGCCAGCTTTTGATAAGCAAGCGCAGAGCTTACATTTGATAGGCTTAATCAATTAAAGGGGCGGGAAAAACAGAGGAGCAAAAAATAGGAGAATACACGGTAGCGGCAGGAGGAGCAGAGTCCGGAAAAAAGCCTGCGGAAACTGCTCGTCAAAGGAGCTCGTGCCGGAGATTCAGTTGTACACCACCCCACCCGTTGAACGTTGAACACCCATTTGAACACACATGGCACAAAAGTCAGTTAGTGATTGGCACTAAACGTTGCGTGACAAATCAATCGGCTTAGGCTTACGTTTCCGATTTCGCTTTGACTTCCAGTTAAAGTCGATTCGAGAATCCAGATCCGGGAGCAAAGAGCATTTGTCCGGCTTGCAATGGTCCTTGTATGTACATATTCACGCTTTTGTTTTCTTACACACAGAGCAACAGCCACAAGCTTACCACAGGTACTACTTCTTTGCTTATCTATGTCGAACACACACAAGCCAACCTTCTTACTTGCTGGCCTAAAGCTTTTGGCCGGGGGAAGTAATTCAATGAAAAATAGGTAAAATTCCCCCTTTGCGTGAAGCCACAGAAAGCAATTGGGATTCTAAAATCACTTCATTGAGTGCCTGACAGTAGTCAGCAAAAAGTAAGTTCTCTTTTCAAAGAGTTGTACATAAATCAAAGATTTCCAGGGTCTGGTGATATTATTTGATATATTTGAACAAGAATTGTAATTGTACTTTGCGCCTAATTATCTGACACAACTTGGACCTGCTCAATATGTTACTTATCCATCACTCAATTGGAACATCCATTCGATATTTGAATTTTCGGTTGCCCAGTTTCTTTTCCCATCTATCCGAACAACGCAAACTCAACTAACTAATCTTACACCATGGTAATTAAAACCCGCATCGAAATAGTTGCGGCGAAGGACGCATTATGTCGCCAGATTCCAAGGGCTGCATGGATCGCAACGAATGCCTCGATATGCCCTGCATGAACGGTGCCACTTGCATCAATCTCGAGCCGCGCCTCCGATATCGTTGCATATGTCCAGATGGATTTTGGGGCGAGAATTGCGAACTGGTGCAGGAGGGGCAGACCTTAAAGCTCAGCATGGGCGCCCTGGCGGCGATTTTGGTCTGCCTTTTGATCATACTGAGTGAGCATCGGACCAGAGAACCTCCTCCAAAAATCGAAATATGTGCTCGAAATATGCGACAACAACTTTTAGTTATAATCAAGCAATTAGTGCTTTAGCGAATGCTTAGCGTTTTAGTGTCTATGTTGTTACGTTTTGCAAAGTTAATTACCTAGTCGCAGTCATCCAATCAATTTCACGCAAATTCCATTTCATTTTACCATCCATTCGACATTTCAAAGGCTACCAGGCTACTGTGCACTTTGGTTTTATTTGATCATCTCATGCTCTATCATTTATAAATCCAATCATTCGGCATCAAAATCACGGATCACCGAATTCCCCTTTAATGAAAATTTATATATTTGGCACATGGCTTTCAAAATGTCCGCTCGCATTTAACCCATTCAAAAAGGCATTTCCATATTCATCAAACTATGATTTCATTTCCATACCATTCCATTCCATCATTTGAATGTTTGTTTTTGGCACGTTTTCCGTTCGGCCTTCCACTCAATATGTCTAGTATTATTCCCTCTGTTTGTGTGTGTGTGTAAATATTTTATGTAACTAAATGAAGGTATGTACCAAATATTTAATGAATCTGTGACTTACTCCTTGTCGAGTATTTCATTTGGACGCCGACTCTGCAAAGCACACTGTCCATTTAGTTTTTGCGCTGCACTCTGCCAACTATTCGCCCACACACTTTGTAAATTGCACTCAGCCAAGAGAATGAACAAGACCTGAAATGCCCTTCAGGTAAGTTAACAAATGTGCAGTCAGAGATACAAGTTGTCCATGAGGAGACAAGGGCAAGCCACCCAAAACCGAGCAAGAGCAATTGCAGTTGTTAGCTTTGGCATTTCGAGAAATCACGATGCTCCAAATCCGCCCACCTTACGAGTATACGAGTATACAGAAAAAAAACAGATAAATACTGACTTGGGAGGACAGGATGATCAGACAGCTCAAAGGAGCAGGTTGGAAAGTGGCACTAAGAAGCTGCCACTTCCATTTCGGCAATGCCTCGCGAGGATTTACTACGTTTGCATTTGCTTTTCTCGATTTCTTACGCTAAATGCCGGGTACGTGTGTAAACAGCCAGAAAAATGCCAGTTTCAGGCTTAGAGCTCAGCTCCATTTATATGCCACCTTTGCTTAACGTTTAAAAGGAAACGCGGTTCACGAAGCATACGGAAATCATTTCGTGGCCGAGCCAGCGTCAACTGAAACTAAATGACGTGAAATATGGCAAACTTTATAGACGAAAATTCCGTAAAAATTATCAAGTACCTTACTCACTGCTGATGGGCTTAAACTGTGCACTTGGGAGCTATCGAAGGCAAGGAGGAGCAGTCAAGAGTAGGAAAAACTATCCCTGACTCAACTTTTCAGCTGGCTCTGATTTAGTGTGAAAGTTTCTGGCTGCTTCTGAGGTATTTACTCTATCCTCGCCTTTTAAATTGTGCTCCATTTGCTGTGCTTCCCCGCTGTGCAGAATTCTATGGTTAAGCAATGGCGTTTGCCAATATTCAATATATCAAAAGTGACTGTCTGTATTTGAAAAGTATTCATCTGTGCAGAAAGTCGCTCAATAGCCATGAATTTAAAGCAGCTGTGAAAAGAAGAGGCCAAAGTGTAAACAAATTTTCGATTCCTTACCATTTTGGTTGAAAAAAGTCCACTCAAGATTGATAGATTCGAATTTTAAAGCAACTCCATAGTACAGGCAAAAGTAGGATTTTAGTTAAATGCCAGCTTATGAAAATTAAGTACAGGTAACGAGAAACACAAACGTATATTACTATGCGAATGAGTAGTTCAACTGTGATTGTACAAAGCCATTTTTAGGGTCCTGCTAATTTTATCACGACAGACATTTGGATTATTTACGCAACAAGACATCGCACACTCCCCATGCATCTCAATTACTTCAGTTTGAGTCCAAGAAATCTCCCTTGGCAATTTCACACCTCAATTCGCAAAAACAACTGGCACTGCAAAGTTTTTATCTCTCTGCATCTGTAAGATCGAGTGTGAGTGCGTTTCGCAAAACTAATCAAAACAAACTTAAGGACCGAGACAAAAAATTGTAACAAAAAGTGAGACAAAATAAAATGAAATTCAACTTATGCCAAGAATGCAGCGAGAGTAAAACTTTATTCAATTCCAACCAGGGAAACAAAAACTGTTACATAATAATCATAAAGGGAAACAAAAATTGTAAGAAACAGCACTTAAAATGCGTGTTAGGATGGGCAGCTCGATGAAGGGCGCTGCGGAATGCAAATTCAAAAAGTTTGTAACACGACCAAAAACTGAACTGAAAACTCACAAAGCGTAAAATAATAACTACTGCGAAAAAATAGCTTGAAATGGTAAAGTTGCAACGAACGTTTAAAAGGACTTTCTGACAGTTTTTCACACTTCTAAAGGAAGGAAGGAAAATATTCCATGCTCAGATCTATTGAAGCGAACATGAAAACAAGTAAGCACTGGGAAAATTCAACATCCAAAATCAGGAATAATATGATAATAATATTTGCTGTGATTTTATTGTACAATAATTAATGGAAAATTCCGAAAAGGACTTAAGTTCTTATTCCTGATCCTAGGACGTTGGTTTTTCTCAGTGCCACAATACGCAGAAACTTTATTCAAGACACACCCACACATCACATCCCAGCATGATGGAAACAGATTTTAAATAATTTCTTTTATTTTTTCAACACCCTCGACACACCCACACATTCCGTACACCCACATCCACCGAAACAACCAACCAACCAACCAACCAACCAACCACTCGTATACGTAACTTTTCGGGCTCGTCCTGCAGCTGTCCGGCGGGCTACAAAAGCTCGGGCAGCACCTGTGTCAACGACAACGAGTGCCTACTGTTCCCCTGCCGCAACGGGGGTCGCTGTCGCGATCATCATCCTCCAAAGAAGTACGAGTGCCACTGCCCCATGGGCTTCACTGGCATGCACTGCGAACTGGAGTTATTGGCCTCCGGCGTATTGACGCCATCCCGTGATTTTATTGTCGCCCTGGCGCTCTGCCTGGGCACTCTGATACGTAAGTACTTAGCGGGGAGACAAAGGAGGTGTGGAACCAACGAACTGCTGAATTAAATCGAAAATTGAGGGTTTGAGTGGCTGAAGATGGTGGTAAAACTTAAAGTAGCGAATTATCCAGCTCACTTGCATGTTAAATAACTATAGCTACTTAATAGTACATGTATTTTATTGCACGTATCCAACTCAGTTTTTGCTTTAATATTAAATTGTAATTTATTTCATTTATTTGGTTTTCCCGTGCCAATTAAGTTTGATCAGACGTGTGTGTGCCCTTAAATATTGATGGCACTACACGTAAGCCATAAAATTAATTAAGTCTTACAATCGGCAATCTGCAACGGACCGGAAACGACGGATCCCAAGCAGCAAACATGTCAAAAGTCATTTCCGCAAATTACATAACACAACAAAAGTCCTTCCTTTAATTAAAGTTTATTGAATGGTCGCGAAACATTTTTGCATATCGATTGGGGCGTGGCTGCAAAAGCATCCAAGTATAAATTAAACATTGTTGGTGAAGAATAATATTTCGGCACTGCGAATGCGTATTTGACTAGCACAATAATTGCAATTATATGCTGGACAGCTGCCGAAAGGCAAGAAAAACAGAAAAAATACAACTTTCTGCGGACGAAGAAGCCGCAGCAAATTACTTAACGTCAACTTCAAGTTGTGGTGGCAATTTCCACGACTCGAAATGCCGAAAAACTTTTTGTTTTCCCAGGGTTTTCCCGTGCAACAGATGCTGTCTGCGTTTCGCAATATGCTGAAAAGCGCGCTGGCGAAATTAGAAATGCTACAGAAGACAGCGGATTCAAGTCGTCTGCAGCTTGATTTGCCATTTTCTGTTGACCAGAAAACTGGGACAATGTTGGCAATATTGTTTTAGCTTTCTTTTCGTTCCCTTTCGTTTCGTTTTCCCCATTCTGTTTTCCGTGTTTCTGCTCTATTCCGCCCTGGTTATACAATTTAATTAAGAATTTTTCTGCCAGCTGATAGCGCACGGGAATGTTTGGACCCGCTTTTCCGCCGCTGAAGAGAAGTACAACTGAAATTGTTCTGCATGTTAAATTAAGCGTTGTATGATGCACTTTGTAAACCTAAGGAGTTGTTGTTGCATACCAAAGGAGGGCAATATTTGAGGGGAAATTGCATTTTAATATTGTTGCATTTCACCTACTCGCAGTACTCGTCCTGGTGTTCGTCGTATACAATCGCCGCCGTGAAGCGCACATCAAATATCCGGGTCCCGATGACGATGTGCGCGAGAATATCATCAACTATGACGACGAGGGAGGCGGCGAGGATGATATGACGGCCTTTGATATCACACCTCTGCAGATACCGATTGGAGGGCCAATGCCACCTGAGCTGGCGCCCATGAAAATGCCAATTATGTGTAAGTTTGCGTGAGAGTTTTCCCTTCCAGCCCTTAAACTACAATTTCAGAACAGATTCTGTTTTGCGAGCACTTAAAATTAAAATCCGAACTAAAGGTGTTTATTTGTAATGTCTCCTATCTGCAGATCCCGTCATGACCTTAATGCCAGGTCAGGAGCCCAATGTGGGCATGTTCATCGAGGAGCATAAAAAGCGAGCCGATGGTGATCCGAATGCGCCACCTTTCGACGACTTGCGGAACTACGCGTACGAGGGCGGCGGCAGCACAGCTGGATCGCTCAGCTCGCTGGCTTCAGGTAGGCCTGAATAATACCCTACTTTAGGACTAGTATTTGCACCCATTATGCAGCCGTTTAGTCACGAAACCAGAACCGAAAAGCCTGAGCAGCCCCAAAAAGTAGGCTACCAGTAACTAGAATAGCACTGAAACGTGCAACTAGACCACCGATTCGTTGTTGTCTCATCAACTTTCTGACATTTCCAGGCCAGCGTTTCTCAGACACAGCTGAATATTGGGTGTAAATCTAAAAATGGCAGTGCTCTCTTCTGATTTGACTACACAGTGCAAAAGAATACCTATCGAGTCATATATACTTTTAAATATCCAAAGTCCCACAGAATAATACTTGCCATGGTACTTGCCACTTGAGGCAGACAAACAATTATGTGCCACATTTTCTCGAATGCCTAGACTAAACATGGCTTTTTGTGCCCATATTCATCGTTGCAGGAACTGACGACGAGCAGCAGGAGTACGACTACCTCGGGGCCTGGGGGCCACGCTTCGACAAGCTGGCCAACATGTACGGACCCGAGGCGCCCAATCCCCACAATACCGAACTAGAATTGTAAGCTGGAGAGGCGAGGAGCGGCGAGATGTAGAGTGGGGAGAAGGGAGAGACCGAATCCATGTCCGATGCGGATACCTAGATGAACAAACTAAAACTGTTAGTAGATACAAAGTTGCATTTAAAACGAAATGAAGCCCCGCTCCCGAGGGAAACTCACACACACAAAGAAAGCGCAACCAAAGAAGCATCTCAATGCTGAAGTTGGCAGAACTCTCTACGTAAATGGAAACTAAGAACTAGAAAACTAAATAGGGGAGGGGAGTGAAAGTGAAAGTGAAATCAAACACATATTATGACACGTAAAATGGCATTTGTAAAAATATTTCATCAGCATTTAAATTTAAATAATTACGATAATGAGATTTAGTTATTAGGGCAACCGGTGGGCCGAAAACGGCAGCGGTTGCACTTTTTCCAGCATTTTTTGCGGGGCAAGTTATGAACGAAATAAAACTAAAAATTGAGTAAAGGGATTTGTATGATGTTGGAGAGAGCATACCAAAGTTTAGTTTAGGAGCGCTTATGAATTTATAACTTTAATTCTCAAACAGATTTATTGTGCATATTATTTTAAGTTGTAATTATTATTTTAGGCATTCTCTGTTTATAATTTTTGTGACGCACGTGAGAGTCATTTAGCGGTTAAGCCAGAACAATTCTCAACGCCTTTAATTTATCGATAGTTTAAGTTAAACCATTATTATTTCGCATTACTTTTTAGGGATTACGATTAAACAGAATTAAAACTTATATAAAGGAATACCCAAAGACTGTTTTCGTTCCATCATAACAAGTATATACATACATTAAAAACACGAAACATATATATATATTAACATATAAACATTACGAAATTTTTAACTGCAACCGACGGGCGTTTCGCAATTTGTCGCATTGTGTATAATTCAATTTAAAGTAAACCACAATCGGCAAACCCTGGCTAAATTCCAGGAAGAAAGTACTCCTAAAAATATTCTAAAGCAGGAAAACTATGCTAAACTCCATAAAAGCGAATCAAGCGAACGAGTAAAAGAAAAAAGTAAAAGTAAAAAAAAATAAGAAAAAGAAAAAGAAAAATTACCTTTAGATGAACTTAGCGCAATTGATATAATTAAAATGAATACTTCAAAGAAAACAAATGATATATATTAATGATGAAAAAATGGAAAAGTATTTTACATTGTATATATTATTAGTTTTAGCACGTATACAAAGAAACACACAAATACAACAATATTAAACCAAATCGAATTGGTAGCAAAACCTAAAATAACATTAAGTCATTTCAACTACAGTGCATTGAAATAAAAAGAAATAAAATCCTCCATATACATAAACCCAAAACTAATTGCATTTAAACACCAACTTTTTCCACACAATAAGCAAACGTTTTGTAGATTCGATCTTTTTTTCCATTTGTTTGCTGAAACTTTAATCGATCGACAATGGTCGCAAATTTGTAGTATTCTTCGTTTGTTGTTGCATAGACCCACACATAATAAATGTTGTTTTTTAAGTTGAATTCGTGTGTTTGTTTTTATTTTAACCTGTCAGCCAGAAAAACAAAAACAGAAACGCAGTTACCCGATTACAGATTGTAGAGAACCGTAAGTACATAACAAAAAATATATATAAAATCTGTGTAGACCATAGTGTTTTCTAGGCAGCATGGCCGCGAATTTTTCAGTTCCTTAATTTTACAGACTCTCCCTTTTAGCAGACAAAAAACAAAAAACACAACAACAGTTTTGGTATTCGAATCATTCCTACTACCACAGAAGAAAGTTTATGAACACTACTTAAGAAAACCTACCATATACATATAACAAATGGAAACGGAGAAAAATCTAACAAAACTGCAACAAAAGTTGACTATTGAAAAGTGCAAAGATTTTAACGTAATTGTTAAACCATACAGCGAAATAAATAATAATACACTTCTCTGCTGTACTTGTTTGAGAAATTCATAGAAATTTTAAAGCACATTAATTGTTAAATCGAACCTTAACTCGAAGTAGCCATTTACGAATAAACGAAGCCATTTTGCATGATTTGCCTGCTTAGTGCAGTACAGTGCGGTACGGTACAGCAAGTCCGCAGGTCAAGAAACACACGGAACACTGCCAAAATTAGGGTTTAGTTTCGCTGGACTCGTGAGGTTAATTCAACGAACCATTCATTTTTCGCTTTCGCTTTTCTTTAGCGCACTGAACTTTTCATTTGGCCTTCTTGCTGACGCATCTGACTATGAATAAATTTTGCATTTATATATGTATAGGTCGAACAGCCAACGGAAACGAAAAAATGAAAAAATCTCAAACAACCACAAAACAAACAATAAACAATGCAAACATTTTAAATTGTAGACATTCAGATAAACAGCAAACAAAAGAACCGGGCGATATTTTATATTTATAACAGCTGGAAAACACACACAGAACAAAAACCAAATTAGTAGAATGGCAAGTGAATTATATACTCATTTACACATATTTGTTATATATTTTGTAACGTAAGTTAGAAGCATATACTATATATTGAATAATGCACAGACACATACATATATGATGCGAAATACATTTACACCAAACACAAATGAACACGGCGACAGACTGGCAAAAAGACAGACCCATACATGCGATGCAAGAATCATACTATTTGATAACTATGTATTTATAATGTATGCATTTTTTACAAACCCGAAAACAAGCGGCTAACACAAACCGAATCTCCTCTATGAATCGTAAATCCCGTTCAGTCTAATAAAATGCAAAACAGATACACATACTAAAGCAAATGAAAATGCGAAACCAGAAAACAAAAAACCAAAAACGAAAAACAAAAAACCGATTTGAATGCAGTTTTAGATAAATTTGCATATAAGTACATTACTATGTAAAATCCCTTTAATATACACGAAAAAGAAAATGCAAACGGAAACTAGTATTAAAAAAGAAATTATGAATAAATTACGAGTAATAATGATAAAACAAGAGCGAGGCGAACTGCTGGAAAAACTAACAAATCAATTGTGTCAGTATCGAAAATGATAAAAATGCTAATTAAGTAAGCGACAGAGAAAAGGCGTGAAAAACTTGTAAGCTAGTCGCGCGCCTCTCGAGGAAAATGGGGAAAATATTTAGTTAAGAAAACGTATACATGACATACACACACACACACATTGACATATACACACACTCACTCATAGACAACATCAACAACTGCAATTATATTAACGAGGAATTATTATAAAAGCAAAAAACACACAAAAAGAAAAGTGGAAAGCAAACAAAAAGAAGGAATAAAAAATAAATAAAGAATCTGTAACGTTATATGGAAAGAAAAATGGAGATCTGTGTATTTATTGAAGTGCGGTGAAAAAGGCTGGGGGCAATGAACTTTTATTATAAATGCAATTTATATATCCAGAATGGCTTGAAATATAATATTTCGAATGATTTAAATTCATAAATTGCAAAACTGTGAAATTAGAAGTTCTTAAGTTAAGAACTTAAGTTCTGTTTATATTTTCCTTGAGCACTCACTTGGCCCCCTTTTAGTAATATACAATTAATATTTCTATTAAAACTATTTATTTGTTCTCTGCATGGGGAGCATACATTGAACTCATGACCTAAGCGCATTCAGTACCTATAAGGCAAATGTAAATGTTTGTTTCCAGACAGTAATCCCTTATTATCTTAGTACTACAAAGGGCCATTCCCATTTCAGGTATCTCTGAAGAACAGTGCTATTTGTTTATTTGTACATAACAGATTGCAGTGTTACTGTGAAACCAATATTATGTCAATGTCAATGTTGAGTCAGACAAGCTGAAGCCGCGGGCAGACACTCCAGGATCACAGTACATCCTTATTTGGACCGGGTGGTGTCCTTTGTCTGCCAACACACTATCGCTATCAGCAAATTTAACCAGCACTAACTATAAACACAAAGCGCACAATAGAAGGAAACACTTTTCTCGAGAAAAGAATGTACTAACAAACATCCCTTCTCTGATTTTTCAAGGGAAGGCGGTAGGTTTGGTAAATGGATTTGGCCTTTGCTTTTGGCCCCGAATACAATTTCCTTTTTTCTACCCAAAGCAGCGCATGAAAACTTCTCAACACCACAAAGGCAAATATGTGTGAAAGGAGGACAGCGGATTTTCTTCCCAACATTTTCCAGTGCGGCATCAAATTTCCAATATTATTGCTCCCTGTTGAGCATTTGTCTTGCCCTTTTTGCCGGCTCTTGGCACGTTCCAACAATTGTTTAAGGCGCCAAAACAAATTGCGCATACGCCAAGTGGTGCGGGCAAAGGCAGAATGTATATGCAAACATTCACTTCGAGCGCAATTTATAAGCCACAATTTGTGCGGACTATTTTTAGCTAAACAATTTGTTTAGCCGTCTCTTTGCAGCTGTCGATTTATTGGCCAACCCTTTCCAACGCGATTTCCCCCACTTTTCCCCTGTTCGAACCCAATGTCTCCCGTCCAATTTCATTGTCAAGCTTTTGGTTTTGTTTGTTTTCCCTCCCCCACCGCCAACTCACTGGTATTTATGGGTTTTGTTTTTGGGCTGCGAAATTTATGAATTTCGCGCTGACAAGAGCCGCTCGTTTATCTCATCTAATAAGTTTCGCTTGTTGCTCCGCGACCCTCATACTATCCCACTTTCCATTTCGTTTCGGATTTTTCCGACCTTCGCCAAGTGCTTGTTGCTCTGGCTCATTTGCAGTAAAAACTTCTGGTTATGGCCTTTCTAGAACACACTTGGAGAAATATCCAATACTCAGAACTACTCATCTTCGGTACGTTGATATTCAATGAGTTAAACAGTTCTAAATTAAACTTATGGTAACAATTCTGGTCAAACTATTATTAATTAATCATATGGCGCACGCGAACTAATTATCCATGCAAAAAGTCTTTCTTTAGGCATTCGCTTTAATTTAACCAAGCAAGAGTCATTGAAAAGAATTCATATATTTATTGGTATATTTTTCATTGTGCACTTTGTATTGATTTTGAGCTGGAAAAACAGTTTGATGAGCCAGCTGAACGCTTCAGTTTCAGTTTCCACTTTGGGCCTTCGGTGCACGGTTTTTGTGTGGAATCTGTTTTATGGCAGGTTGTTAAAGGCGAGAATTTTCCGATTTTGGCTGTCAAATATAGTGAAACAGCGAGGCGGCCAAAATGCGGATATTTTTTAGATAAGTGCGGCAGTTTATAAAATCGCTCTGGGCAGCTTTGAATGGAATTTAGCAGGCGAGTGATGGTTGAGCTTTTAAATGGGTACAGCAGAGCGACATGTGAATCGCATTTGTGCATATTTGGCCACTGATTTTATCTCATTCATGCCGAATGATACTTATCACATTTGCACTTCAAAGAGGAATACCAAATACAGGCATTTTCAAATGCGATTTCGAGCCCGAAAGCATGCAGTAAATATGCGCACTAGATAAGCACATGTCATGTACATATGTTTGAACCAGGCCCAGATTCCGGCTTTGTTTCGTGCCGCCCACATATTTCAATATTTTGCCAACATGTCACATGGATGACATTCATTTCCTACAGTCAACACGCACAATTTGCCGCTCGCAAATGAAATGAATCGCTCCAAGACAACAAAGTCAAACTGCGGAAAGAACTGCCAGCGCAACTCGTACGAATCCCCTGGCACACCGGAAAATCTTGGACGAAAAACCCAGCAAAGTGAAAGCGGTGGGGGGAAAGCGGAACATGTTT